ACATACTTAATAGTCATAAATAATATATATATATATATATATATATAATTAATAACACTGAAATTGATAATTCATGTATAATAACAATATTAATCACAATAAAAGTGACTAACATATACAATGTATGATATAATCTTCAAAATCACAATTAGTAAAATGTATTCAAAAGATTTGCATGCATATGATGCGTGTCACATAAGACTCAATGCAATATCATATTGTCATTATACACTCAAAACGATGTGCCAACATCAATCCATTTGTCACACTCATCCACCACAACATCATAATTTCATACTTTAATCATTATACCAAGTTATATTCCATCACTAATACAACAATCTTTCAAGTTAATAGCATTAGCTTATAAAATGGAGAAATATCAAATTCAGAACGACACCTGGTGGCAGTCATCTTGCACTCGGTGAGACACACCCAACGAACACATGAGCTCTCTAAATGACTTGCATTCAATGTGATTCACTTCACACCCAACAAGATTACCATAGAGAGCTCCCAAGAGCTCTGGAGCCCAAAAAGGATCAACCCATGCTCAGCGTGAATGACTTGAATAACACCTTTGCTCTTAGCCATAATGGTACCTGAGGAGCCCAAGGTGGCATCTGGTGTCGTATCAAAAACTAACAATCTATAAGAAATGTGAATTTCACAACACATGTACAAGATACCAATTCACAAATCCAATTGGTAAAAAACTTCAAAATATCAAGAATACACTTCTAGTAAGCGCAAATTACACATATTTACATACTCAAATCATCTCCTTGTACATTACCAAAAATGCATTCTTTTATGATTTTAACAAAAACCCACATGTAATCCAAGATTCACAGGATTAGTTTAATGTGTAAAATTAGCCATACATATACATTCAAGACATTCAATAAAGCATAAAAAAATCATTTGGAAGACAAAAATGCATCACAAGTCACAAATTAGGATTTTTCACTTCATACAATGCATACACCAGAGAAGAGATTATGGGTCAATCTCTTTCCTCAAAACAGTTATCCCATGCCTAAAGCAATATTACTCATTCCTTTTTTTACCTTGGTGAACACTAGTTGAAAGGCACGAATCTCCAAGGTGATATCCTACGATCTTTGGTTCTTCTCCCAATTCTTTATAGCATAAGCATAGAAAATAAAGATATTTTTGTAAAATAAATATTAATGTTTAAGATATAATAGATTTGGTCTTATAAAAAGACCAAATTAATTTAAAATTCTGGATCTTATAATAAAAGACTGAAAAGAGTAATTAATATTAAAAAGTATTATAGTAAATTTTAATATTATTTTATTTATATTTATCATTTTTCACCAAATAATGCACAAGATAAACCAAACAATGGACGAGACAAATTCTTGTCCTCTAACTTAAGTGTTTGTTACACACACACATTCGTGCTCATTTTTTATTTACTTTGTGTATGTGTCTATAGCCCTAAACCCTAAACACAAAGTAAACAAAAAATGAGCACACAGGATTTCATTTCTTTAAAATATAAAAGTTTAAAAGTTTAAGTAGTATACTTCCACAAATTACTAAGAGTGAGTGTTGATACACGTAAGGTAAAATCATAAAGAGAGCTTTGACTTGACCACATTGGATGTCACTCAACCTTGGACACAACATCACCAAGTTAGAGACCTCCCATTACTCTCACACTCGACTCTATTCAAATGATGTCCAACACCATGTCAACTCAAGACAGGTCTCTCTCCTCACTTTTGGCGTCACCGATTCTGAGTCCAACGTGATCGAGACATAGAATCTCAAGTTGGAATGACGCTTGACACCACGAAGACACACCAAGTGTGATGAGTAATCTACACTTATGCCACGATTTCTACTAAATCCACCTGAAACTCAGTCACAACCACACATGCAACACAAGATAATGATTTTTCTCAATACAAGCAAGTCAAATCCAACTCAAAAACCAACATGCAACAACAATACATAGCAAATCGTCATAGTTTTCCTCATGAACCTCAAACCTTAACCTTCACACAAATCTTCACCATTTTAATTCAACTTAGCCATAGTGGTACAAAATCCAAATGACTTTCAACACCATAATCATCCAAAAAATTCAACATACAACAAAGAAACCATAAATCCAACTTCCTTTACCTTGAAACCAAAGTTAATTGAGGAAGAAAAAGAGAACTCTCAACTCCACAAGTCACCCAACTAATCTCAACAACAACTGACCTAAATCCAACAACAAGACAACACGGTGAGAATTAGAGAATGATGAAAAGAAGATTAAGATAAAAGAGAAGCTCACATACCAAAGTCCTTCTTTATAGAATTCCTCTCACTATACTTCTGAGGAAAAGAGTTTATGAGACTCTTCAAAATATAAACTTTATATACTCTTCCTCTTAGGACCAAATTGACTCTTTGCTCAAAGAAATTTCCAATATCACTGAAATTTCCTAAAGTATACTCAAATCCTAGAATCTCTCAACACTAAATAACAACTCAACTTATCAACACGAAAACAACTTAAAATAATTATCACTCTATAACTTACGGTATTACAATATGTTTCCTAAGCAACACAAGTGTTCATGTAATGCATAAGAAGTGTATATATTAGTGTAATGTATAAAGAGTATTAGTATAATATTGTGCATTCTTTCTCTTCTTTCTTTATTATTTAATTAATGTTTGTGTGCTATTATTCATTTTTTATCACCGTCTCATGCTTTGTTTAATTTTAAATACTCATTTGTTTAATTGCTTTGTACATTGTAAGGTGAAAATATTGTGTCATTGTGTGGAATTAATTTTTATAATATTGTTTTAGTCACTAATGCATTTGTTGTAAATTTAACTTTTTTTTTACTTTTCATAAGTCTTATTTTCAATATTTAAAGTTTTATTTTTATAAATTTAACTTAAATAGATGTTTAGTCATGTAAAATAAAGTGTTTTTTTTAATTATAGTCCTTTTTAATTTTGATTGTTTTCATTCCCTCAACTTTTGGTTCTACAATTTTTATTTATTTGTTTATTTTGATCTCTATAATTTTTTTATTGAATTTAATGGAGAAACCTAACAGTAGAGATCAAAAAATAAAACAATAAATTTTTATAGGAACGAATATAAATATTTTTTAATAAAGAAACTTACATAAAATTCATCTAACAATAAATAAATTATCGACAAGAAAGTTGAATTAAGCACGTGTGTTTGATTTTCTTACCACGTGTATAGAAAAAGTTTGCTGAAAAACAAATTTCCTTTAATAACTTTTACTTTTTGATTATTAATCGCGTTTTCAATGCAATTCGTTAATTAAGCAGATCCTTTTTAATTAAACTAACAAAAAATTATGTTTTCTAGAAAACTTTGTTTTATTGATGAACTATGATCTTTATAAAGGAATCTATCACTGTTGTATGAATTTATTTAGTAATATTAACCTCGATAATGATAAGATGATTAATACATATTTCAATCAAGTATATCATTTCATATATAACCAAAATTGAAGAAAAAAAAAGTGCAACTCTCTATATATTAAAAAGAAAGAAAAGATGATACTTAAAACATATACAGATTTTTCGAAACCAGATGTTAAGAGTAGACATGTTGGTATATATAGAGTTTATGTAAATGTGTTTGATCTCTAACAATGACCCCCTATTTGAGTATTTAAAGAAAATATAATGACAGTAAATATGAACCATATACATGTACAAGTGTCCACTTACGACTAATAATTAATAATTGACAATAAATACTTTATATATTTTTTATATAATAAAAAATATATTTTTCTAAAATTACTACAAGAAATTATATATATATATATATATATATATATAATATGACAA